AAAATCAGCTGTTGCACTTCCATAAGCATGCCTAGGCTTTCAGAGGTATGTATGGTAGTCCTTTGGGTTCAAAGAAGATATGCTGTTGTGGAGGTCATCTGTGGACACAGAGGTGGTTCTGCAGTCCCAGTCTGGAAGTGCAGCATCCAGCACAGTGGGGGCACTGGAAGTCCATTGTTGTACAGTAGTAACTGTGGGTGTTACTCTGTGGTGCCGCTCAGAACTTTCTATCAGTTTTTGACAGTGCCTATCTTCTTTCTTGACTTTCTTTCTGTATTTTCTTTTCTTTTTGTACTTTTTTCAGCACTTTTTTTCTGGGTTTTTTGGGGAGGGGGTATAATACTTTCTGTACTGTACTTTACTTTTCTTTCTGTACTTTCAGACGTACACTCATAGTACACACAAGAAAATTTTCTTAGCGATGCATCTAAAATTCCATGATCCAAAAAAATTGGTCATCTTCCTCTCTATCTGAAATTATTTTAGAACTTACTTGTATTTATCACTTTGGGATATTTATTTTTTATTGTGCTTCTGTTTTTGTTTTTTTACCCATGGTTCATCACCCATAGACACTGTTATAAGATGGGCAGCTATATAAATTGTTTAAATATGAATAAATACATAATTTAGTTTGCACCAAGAACACCCAATATGCCTCTCCACAGCTCTTTATCCTTACAAACCTTCTTCCACTATATCCATACACCAATTCATAAATAATCTTTCATTCTTCAAACTTATCAACTCTCATGGTTAGCAGTACATTCTTATATATAGCCATTTTCACTTCATTTGGCAAGCATTCATTTCTTACAACATACTGACCACATACTATCTATGTAATAAAACCCTTTTAAAGAAAACACTTGAAAATTAAGATCTACAACATAGATTGTCTCTAACCCTCATACTGTATGTACTTTTGCCTTTTCTGTATTTTTGTCTTATTTTTTATGATACTTATGATGATTGCTTTATAAGATTTACTTAGATCTTACTGACAGAGTCTTGATGTGGCTGGAATAGAAAACAAACAAAACAAATAAATGCAGTCCTTCACTCCTGTCAAGCACACAATCTTGTTCTTGGATGCATTGATTTGCAGATCCATATTCTTCACTGCATTATACACTCTGTCTTACTTCTGCTTGAAATCATTGATCATCTGCATACAAAATGTACCCTATGCTGAGAAGAAATAGCTCCATGCCCAGGCCAGACAGGCTAGACATACTCCCAGCATTACACTAAGGCACCATTACAACTAGAACCAGGGACTGTTTTTCTCCACTTGTCTGCTTCCACCAACACTACTACCATCACTGCTGCAGCCTCTTGCTACTGATGACAGGACAGTAATCACACCATTATTTTTCATTGTCCCTGCAAATATTGCTTGCTTTCATGTCAAACTCATGGCAAACAGCTTTTTATATAATAGCATAAGCCATTAACATGATGTAAACAGAATGATACCACGTGTATGTATGTGTTTGTGTGTTTGGATGGATGGATGGATGGATGGATGGGTGGGTGGATGAATGGATGGATGGATGAATGGATAGGTGATAGATTATGTTGCCATCACGTCATTTTTTACTCTTAGCAACCACAAGGGTACATTTTCCCCATGACAATCTAACCTTAACCTGTTCTTTCAAGTCTCCCAATGGTGCCCTTATCACCACTGTAACTGAGTCCCATCCACCTTGCTGCTGGTCACTGCCTTCTCTTTCCCTCCACCTTTCTCACCATTAGAGCCTTTTCCAGAGACCTGGGTATTGGATAATGTATCCTAAATCAGATAATTTCAGCCTGGTCATTTGTGCCTTGAGTGAGGACTCTGGATTGATTTGTTTAATGATCCATGGGTTCGTTTTCTTGGCTGTCCATGGTATTATCAGGAGTCTTCTCCAACACTAAAGTTCAAAGGCATCAATACTCTTCCTATCCTGTTTCTTTAAAGTCCAACTTTCACTTCAATAGAGTGTCACAGGGAATACCATGGCTTGTATGATTCTGATCTTTGTAAGTATAGACGCATCACAGCATTTGAATGTCTTTTCCAAGGCCTTCATGGTTGCTCTACCAAGTGCTAGTCTGCATCATATTTTTTGACTGCTTGTTCCTTCCTTTTTAAATCCATATAATTATTTCTATATAATTAATCCATATAATTATTTCCTTAGGTTTCGAAGGTGCACTCACTGGGTGGCTTAAGGTACTCTGCTGCTTGGAGGATCTCTGTAACTTTAAACCAAATCTCTGTTCCAATGTGCAATAGAAAATGGATTAGATGAATCCAATGGTCCTTTAAGCAGGCTCCACTTGAGGCTGTGAGCTTGATGATTTCTTCCATGGCTCCTGGCACTCTAACGTCAAGTTGCCTGCGCAGTACTTCCAAATCCTGTGGATTTCCTCATGATCCTTCGGATTTCCTAGGCACAAGTAGGTGGTCTCAGGACTTCTCCTTGCTTGGGGAAGCTCTGCTGGCCCAAGCTTGCTGCCAAGTTGCCATTCTAACCTCAGCAATGTCTCCACTGTGCGAAGATGTGTTAATCCATCACTTTCTTACCCAGAAGTCATATTCATGGGTTTCAAATGACCCAACTGCTTTTTCTATATTGTCTTATCTCATTTCCCCACCATCCATTCCCCACGTCATGTAACAAAATATTCTTTCATTATCACCAGCCTACTCCTACTTTCCTACTTTCATATATGGATTCCTACTTTCTTATATACATATATACATAAAATAACATAGACCAAGTCATACTTTCTGACATACATTTTAGCCCTTCATCCCAAATTATATTTATACATTTGTTTCCCCATATGTATTAACCAACTTAACTCTATAAGATCATACCATTTTTATTCAGTTGTACTACATCCTTTTCCTTTCTCTTGTTTTCACAGACATACAATATAACTATTTTTATTTTATTTTATTCATTCATTAATTCATGCTCTTTATGGTTTGCCCCTCTTGCATTCCAAGTCACAATCATCTGTATGCCATGTTCAATACCAGATGTGTTCATAGTTATTGACCTACATTACCCATCTTGGCTGTCATAAATCAAAGTCTCTCATAACTTTTTTTAGTAAAATATAAATTGTATTGTTTAGATTACCAACCTTAGTCATACTAGTGCCACATGCAGCATTCCCTCCTAATAATAAGGTAGTAATATTAGTCAATTTAGACACAACTGATCAGTGTGCCACAATGCAACCAAAGCCAACTTTACCCGAAGCATATTCATGCTATTCTATAAAAGCCCAAATTTCTCATATAGAAGTTGTCTTGCAAGCTAACAATCTGTAGCTTGTATCCCACCATTTTGGAGATTCGTGTACTATATTGACAATAGTCAGGATTTGACAGTAATAAGAACAACCACACTGATGAAAAGACCAGAGAAACACAGGCACCAAGCTATTTTTTTCTTTATTCCAGGCCTTTTATGGTCCCTCTTCATTTCCACCATTCATCTCATAATTTATGCAATGTTTTTGGCACATCCAAGATTAATAGTAAGTGTGTGTGGTGTGTGTGTGTGTGTGTGTGTGTGTGTGTGTGTTGGAATTTATTGAGTGGGCTTGCAGCGCTGGGCTTTATTTCTCATTTGAACTCACATAAAATTCATGCACCAGTGTGGCTGCACATGTACCACAGAAACCATTTATTCCCCCAAAGTACTGTCAGTTTTCTTTAAAAAAATATTTTTGGTAACTCAAATTTTTCTTCTAAGGTAAGCTGTTCATATGTAAAGAAAATGAGAAAAATATAACCACCTGACTTTTATGAGTACATCCGCATTACAAACCCCTTACAAATTACTGCTCAGTAGGGTGCTTGTGTGATTAAAACCATCTAGGCTTTGGGATACATTTTCTCTGCAGGATTTTGTCAAATCCTTTTCATTTCACTATTGGAAGCACTTAAAGGCAAACAACTTTAAATACAATCTGGTCTCTGTAGATGTCATTTTAACATCTTAATGAGCTTTTCCCTCTCCCACCCCAAATAATGAGTTCATCCTTATTTGACAGGAATAAAAATGACTTACCAACTACCCACTTCCCTTGTTTTACTTATATGATGGACAAAGCTTCATATCAAACTTTCTGTCTAAAATTTATTTCATTCATGAAATTATTGTAACTCCAACAGCAGGTAGTTATAAAGCGCATGGAGATTTTACTGTTACTATTTCCTCTTTTATTTTTTTTGGGGGGGGGTTATTTTTTTACTGTTCAGAAGTCCCAGCTGAACATATCAGAAGGTTTATGCTGAAATGAAGTTCTCAGACATGTAGAGATTGAAAATCTCTGAGAGACTCTACTAAGGACTGTCTTGTGGGATTTAGTAATTATTCCAATCCTTTAATTGCCTGCATTGAATTGATACAATGGTTTTTATTTAGCTTTTCTTATTTGCTTATAATGTTATTTTGATGTATTTCATTTCTTGATGTATTATCATATTTTTATTATTTTAATATCATAAGGATTCATTCAGCAAACTCCTGTTGGGAGGTCTTTTGGTAATTAATATGAGCAGAAGGATTGCAGGCATGGGAAGTAATACTGCTCTCAGCATCATTAAGATACCATGTGGCTGTATTGATGTTTAGATGTCAGACTTTCCCAAAGTGGGAAATACAATGGAAAGATTCTCAGTTTTGGGCCATGTAAGCTAAGATTCCTATGAGCTGTAGTCCAGGCACATCTGAAAATTAGGAAAACTTTTTATATTACAATCACTTTCTAGATGAAAGATCACCATTCATCAAGAAACTTTTTAGATGAAAGTTCACCATTCATCCACATGCAATTAACTTAAAAAAGGTCCAGTATAATCTAAATCCTAAACTGCTTTTTTTTTAAATTTCTGTAGGATGTAGACAAATGCAGTTTTATAAATAATGACTAACCAGTCAAGTCAAATATGACATGATTAAAAGCAACCACATGCTTTAATTTACCTTGCGCTTATTTGTTGGGCAGACATAAAGGTAGCTCAAAATGGTCTTCAGACCCACTTTGTCGTTCATCTTTTCATATGTTGTCCCATAATCGGTTGACCTGTAATTCCAAAGAACACTAGTAAGTAAGCGTAAACACTAGAGCAAGAATAAGATGCAAACTGCTTGGCTGTTTTCCAGCTTAAAACAAAATAGCTCTCTGGAGGTTTTTTTTTTTTTTTAATGATTCACGTTGTATATAATGACACTTAAATATGTATACATGCCTTCATGTGAGAAGTTAACATTTGCATTTAAATTAGGCTAGGAAAAAATAAAATTGCATCTTCAGTGCCACTGAAAATAAATGCTACAATAAGAAATGTTAATCGAGTTTTAAGAGGTAATGTTTGTCATAAATGCAAATGTCAGGATAACAAGAAGCTGAATTAGTTGTTTGTCCATTAGTATGTTCTCTCATACTGGAAAATACTGCTGCCCTTTAAGTTATCATCACAGTTTTGCAAGTACTACTACTTAAGCTGTTTCATGATCTATTTAATAATGCTCCAAAAGGCTATGGTAAGACATGACTAACCAAAGTAGTGAATTCCTTGCTTTACATCACTTGCATTGTTCCTGGGTATATTTCAAATAAGCTTAAAATCATAGTTTCTAGATGAGAAACCCTTCTTAAAATGCAGTCTCCTATTAGATTATAACCAATTAATTTTTACACTAACCACAATACAATAGATACATTACACCAGATTTTGATATACAGAATTATATATGGATTCCATTTCTTGATATTTCTTGGATGATAATCTGAGTTGATAATGACCTTTGGTTCACTCATACAAGTCACAAGAACAATGGAAACATCAAGGAATTTTGACAGTGATGAAGGACAATAATTAAACAGAGCCAACATATCTATCAAATCATGAAGATAAACATAGTTGTGTGAAAGGGCACAAGCTCTCAACATAGTCTTGTAGCAAGTGCCCATACAATGAAGATATTCACTTCAGATTCTTCAAATCATCTTGACCATTTTATATGCCTTATGTTCTGTTCCACAACACTTAACAGAAAGAAGAAATAATTTGAACTGATAACTGTATACAAGAGCAACTCTTATGTGACATGAACAGATAATAACTAAGTAATTCATTCACACAAACTAGAAAATAGCACATACTATTCAATCATATATTTCTTCACATATACTGGAGAAAGTAGAGGACAGAGAAATGGACAGTGCCCTGCCCCATATACTGCCTATGTGCATTCACTGAAATCCTACTTCCTTGAGCTTGATACATTATACATTGTAATGTATTTTACTATTACAGCACCAGTGTTGAAAATATTGAGGGAAGAACTATGTACAAACCCATTATTCTACCCACTTTGAGCCATCACACGCTCCCTGGAATGTCCATATAGGGCTTTTATCTAAAGAATAACAAGCACAGAGTTGCACAGAACTGGCCATTAGTTTTCCACTTGATCTCTTTCCCTTCTAAAAGTAAGGAAAAAAAACCAATGATAATCTTGTACATTAGTTATCAGTGAAATTCACAGAAAATAGACACTGTTTTATTTGATCCAAATGATAAAACATTAGCATCTATAAATATAAAAATAATGGCAACAGAAACAAATGGAGCTTTGCACCACAACATCTCACAACCCCACTTTCCAATCACTTCTGGCCAATCTACTGTTTTCAGAAAACAAATGTATGTTGTAAATTGCCCAATCCAATATCTAATGTAAGGAACTCTATTTGAAAATGATTTAGATCAAATTGTTTGTTCCATTCTTCTATGTTCATATCCATCAATTTATTCATTGCAGTCAATTCTCATAGCTTAAATAGCCATTTCTTAATGTTCAAAATTGTGGCAGTTTTCCAATATCTTGCCAAAATAATGTTTGTAGAAATCAAAATGTTGACAATCAAATATAATTGATTTATATTTAGAACATCTGCTATATAATTAAATACCATTATGAATGCATTTAGAGCCAGTCTAACTCCTGTTATCTACTTGATTATACCTGAAATTTTAGTAGAATATGTTTCTCTTGGGTCAGTCGCAAAAAACTCATTCTCAAAAACCAAAACTCATTCTCAACATTCATTTGTTTGAAATATACCTCCTCCTCTTCATCATTCTTCTTTTAATGATACAAAATGTTAAGCTGGGCATCTTTCAGTTTAGTACAAATATAACTGATAATATATTGAAAAGACATTTAACACATTTTAACATAAAACAAGGATCTAAATCTTGGTATATGTTATTTACCATCATAACTTAAACCTGTTAGTCAAATTACAAGGCAGGTTATATCAAGTCAACTAAGATAGAAGTTAGATGCCTTAAACTTAATTTGTACTATTATTCTACCCAAATTCTCAATAACTATTTTAATATTTAATTAATTTTTAAAATGTTTATTCTAATTCATTCTTCTTTCACAGCAAGACATAAAACAGTTTAGCACCTGATTCACATTCCAGCAAGTAGTCATTATTCATATTTTCTAGGAACCATAATTTTATTTATATTAAATATGTCTCTTCATAGTAAGAAGAAGAACATAAAATAAAGGAAGCCTAGACCCACTTCTAATAGTATGCTGTTTTTCCCTCATAACCTGCAAAATACCTATTTTAATCATAGGCACTTCTCATCCCCTAATTTTATCAATATTGTCTTGTAAGCTTTGATTTCTGTGAAGTTTAATGCAAACCAAAACTTAGAGAGAACTCCCATTATAATAGTTTTACATTGTTAGTCATGATCTTCTATTCAGATGTTCCAGATTTTTCCCCACAATCATTTATGCAATTACATCCTATTCTTTTCTTTATTTAAAGCATCATTATGGTATACTTAAAACCGAGCACCATGTTTTTGTAATAGTATAGAGATCATTGAGATGACTTATAATGAGATGTTTTGAATGTGAAATTCAAAATTCAAATTCATGTGAGCAGTCACAGGATCAACAGTTCTTTGATAGCTGAAATAATGTCATCCTATGTACAGTATGTCAAAAGCATATTTCTGCACCCATTATGCTTTTATTAGCTGATTTTCCTAGCTAATACTCACACAACTGTCCCCAGACCCTCTGCAGCTTTATTTCTTCCTCTCTTTATTAGTGTTTCCAAAAGCCACCAGACATTCTTCATTTTAACATCATAATAATATAACCATTAGAGGTGTAAAACAGAATTCACATTATCTAAGTAACTACAATTTATTTGCAGAAATTGCACATTTAAACTTCTTATTCCAAGTCATGTAAAAGTCTTACAGTTTTCCACATTTACAGCAATATGTTATTGTAGAATGCAAAGAAGACATAGGAATAAGGGTTTCTTTTTATTAGATGTTGGTAGTATGGTCATCAAATATTGGGGAACATTTTTCCAAATATTAACCTCAATCTTTTTTAAAATTCAAATTTCAAATTAGCATTAAAACTTCCTTATATAAATCCCCTCAATGCTTTTCCTGGTCTTATTCATGAAACTATTATTAATCTAAATATATAAAAAGTATTTTTCTGATACATTATAAACTCCTAATTGTATATTTGTACGAATGTTTCTTGGAAGTAAATCCCTCTGCATCCCAGGGGACCTTATTCCCAGGTAAGTGTATGTACAGAGTGTTAATTGTCCTCCTACTTTCTTTCCTTTCACCTTTCTTTCCTTTTGATGCTGTTTTTAAGCTCTGGGTAAACATACTGTATATATCCTAATTTACTATATAACAAAAGCACAGATTTAAAAATGATTTATTTACTTATTTCTCAGTGGTCTAGTGCAACGCAGAAAAAAATCTGTATCTTTTCCTACCAATTCTCATTCAGTTGGATGAAAAAGAATTTGGTTTTGACATTTCTCTATGAAGTGAAGAGAATTTTAGTGAAGTATGGGGTGTCTTACACTTCTTTAGTTATGTGGTAGCTAAGAAGTATGTGTCAATATTGTGTCTTTGTTTCTACAATCTTCTCTCTAGCAATTGACAGCTTTCCTGGCTTCTTCCACTTTTATTATATCCCACTGAAAGATATTAAACAGGGACTGCTCCCACTGGGCTTTCATCAGAATGGGAACAATGGGCAACCAGGGAGATGTGAGAGTGATGGAACAATGTGTAACTGAAAACACCTCTAGCAAGAATACCCTCCAGCATCTCCAACAATGAAGCAAGTATCTCTTATAAAAAGTTTAAAGAGAAGTCACCATTAAGTTTCCATATTTTATTACAGGATGGTGCTACTTAGAACCCCAACTAGATAATAGAGCTTCTCCTCCTCCCAGATTGTTTTGGTCCCTATTAACATCTTCATCGGTGCTGCTGAGCAGTTCAGGAGGACTGCTCAGCAGGGACAGGGTTAAGGAAGAAGCTAACAAGCAGTAGATTAGACAAGGACAAAGGAGGATGAGGAAGAGGTAGATATTTAACATGCCCATGATTCAGTGCTCTTTTGTAGGTGTAACCAAGCCAGGGGGGGACATTTGGTCTTCATCACTTCAGTCATTTGATCTTCATCATTTGGTTTGCCTGAAAAAAGTTGCACTCCATTTCCTATGTACCCAGACAGTTCTTGACTGATGAATTTAGCTCAAACATGGTGATGCATACCTAGCTTAGGTATTGTTATATTTGTTTTTTAAAAATGAGGCATTTAAATAACTTCATTATTATTCATTGATTTTTTTTTTCTTCTCTCTCTTCCTTTTTTCTCCTGTCAGGCAAATGAAATTTATATTATGGTATTATAACAAGGTACTTGCACACTTTACTTAAAGTCACAAATTCCATTAGTCCACATGTGCTCAGGCCTGTATTGGCTCCTTGTAACATTTCAGTAAGGATAATAGACAATCTACATCTACTGAACACGTGAACCATAAGAAATTGTCATATCTATTTTCTTAAGAACTATGCATAGCTGGTCAGCTAGAATGCATATTTTTAGGATATAACTTAATGTCATGCAAATTATTTGTTTATTTATTTTTTAACCTCAAATGCCGGACATATGAATGCTTTCTATTCCTGAGCTCTTGTACATTTTGAGGTG